GGACACACAACTTCAGGAACTGGTGAGCTAAGATATTTGGTATCCTCAATTTTGTTTCTCTTAAACCAGAGATCAGAAAACTTTTCCTGTAAATGGCTGTTGTTAGGAGCCGTTGAGTCACACCAGACTCATGGTAACTCATGTACAACGGGATTAGACCCTTGTGATCCATAGGGTTTTCACTGGCTAATTTTCAGAAGTATCACCAGTCCTTTCTTCCTAGTTCATCTTAGTCTGGAAGCACCACTGAAACATGTTCAACATCATAGCAGCACAACAGCTTTTACTAACAAATGGGTGGTGGCTGTACTTGAGGTGTATTCACTGGGAATTAAACCTGGGTCTCCTGAGTGGAAAGCAAAAATTCTACCACTGACCCACAACTGCCTTCTAGATAATGTTTTATCCTTGGCGGCTATGCGGTCTCTGTTGCAATTACTGAACTCTGCCATAATAGTGAGAAAGCAGCCAAGACAGTAGCAGTAAATGAATGATCATTACAGTGTCCCAACGAAGCTCTATTTATAGACACTGAAATCTGCATTTCATATAATTTTTATATGTCAAGAAATATTCTTTTTCAAAAACTAAAAAATGTAAAAGAATGTAAAGAAGCATTAAAATGTAAAAATAACTAAAATAAAGAACTTAAAAATGTACATTCTCAGCCTGTTGACAATATAAAAGCAGGGCAGACCAGTTTGACAATTCCTGTTTTAAACCATTGTTTGCCAAAATGCAGCTAGCAACTCACTAGTGAACTGTGAAATTAATGTGGTGGTCTGTAGTCAAGTTACAAAAAAGAAACAGTTTCTCTTTGAATCTAAGGTGTCATCAATTGTAAGATACCACATTATTACTATTTTTTAAATAATATTTTATTGTGTTTTCGGTGAAGGTTTACACAGCAGTTTAGATTCCCATTCAGGGACAGAGTACCCAATAAGCAAGGCAAGCGAGTGCTTGTGGTGCTTACCACATGCCATGTGCTGCTCGTTCACTTAATCTTGTAGCCTTGCTATTGGGTAATCCATCCCTGTTCTTATTCAACAACTTCTACACAAATTCTTCAGTGACAGTGGTTACATCTTTAGATGTCGTGAACATTCTCAGTATTTCCCTTCTGGTTGTTCCATTTCCATTAATCTAGTTTCCTGCCCCCTTACATTCTTATCTTTGTTTAAAAGTAGTTGTTGACTCTTTGGTCTCATATAAGTGATTTTTTTTTTTTTTTTTTTAAAGGAGCACAGTACTCACGGGTGCTATTCTTTTTTTTATGAACCAATCTGTTATTTAGCTAAAAGGTGACCTCAGGGGTGAGTTTTACTTCAAGGTTTGAAGAGCATCTCAAGGCAATAGTCTTGGGGAGTTCTCCAATCTCAACCAGTCCAATAAGTCTGGCTTTTTGTTTTTTGGTTTGTTTTTTGTTTTCTTAGGAATTTGAGGTTCTGACCCACATTTTTTTCCCATTCTGTCAGGGTACATCTATTGTAGTCCTGATCAGAACTGTTGGTAGTGGTAGCCAGGCACCATCTAGTTTTTCTGATCTCTAGGTGGATGATGTTGTGGTTCCTGTAGACTATTAATCCTGTAGACTAGTTTCTTCTTTGAGTCTTTGCTTTCCTTCTTCTTCTTTTTTTGCTCCAGATGAGTAGAGACCAATAGCTGTATCTTAGATGGCTGCTCGCAAACCAAACTAGGATGTAGAACATAAACTTTACAAACTATATTATGCCAATCAACCAAGATACCCTGTAAGACTATGGTCTTAATCCTTCAAACCCAGGAAACCAACTTGATAAGGTGTTTGGTTAGGTCTGAGAAGTATCCGTAACTGTGCCCCGTATGTGCTTTATTATATATATGAATATATGTGCATGTAACCACATACATGCATATGTGTATATATATATATACACATACATGTCTTCATACATACATATATAACTGCACATATATTTTTTGGTTGTTGCCGCCGTTTTTTCAAAATTCTATATACTGTAGCAATTACCAAAGGTCCTTTTTTTCTTGTCACCTTTTAGTGACATCATTTACCTTTGTCAGGCTGCACACACTTCATTCTCATTGGGTGTTACCCTTCCCATCATCAAAAATAACAAGTACCTATTATCTAAAGAGTGAATCCTCCTCCTCCCTCATCCCTGGTAACCACTAATGAACATTAGTTTCTGTACATTTGCCTGTTCGTGTCATTTCATAAAAGTGAGAACATACAATATTTGTCTTTTTGTGATTGACTTCTTTTGCGCAACATAATTTCCTTCAGGTTCATCCATGTTCCAAGATGTTCTGCGAACTCAGTTTTCTTTATTGCTGAGTAGTATTTCATTGTATGTATGTACCATATTTTACTTATCCATCCATCTGTTGATGGATGCTTAGGTTGTTTCCATCTTTTTGCTATTGTGAATAGTACTGCAATGAACTTAGGCATGCTTGTTCCTGTTTGTGTCACTTCTATTAGATCCCTAGGGTATATACCTAGGAGTGGAATTGCTGGGTCATATGACAGCTCTAGAGCCCTGGTGGTGCAGTGGTTAAAGAACTTGGCTCCACCAGCTGCTCCTTGGAAACTCTATGGGACAGTTCTACTCTCTCCTATAGGGTCTCTATGAGTCAGAATTAACTCAACAGCAACGAGTTTATTGCAGCTCTATCTCTAGTTTTTTGAGGAACTACCAGACTATTTTCCACAATGGCTGTACCATTTTGCATTCCCACCAGCAGTGGATGAGGGTTCCAATTTCTCCACATCCCCTCCAACACTTGTTATTTTCTGTTTTTGTTTTGTTTTTTATCTTAGCCATCCTAGTGGAAGTGAAATGGCATCTCCTTGTGGTTTTGATTTGTATTTCTCTGATGCTGAACAACGTTGAACATATTTTCAAATGTCTGTTGGCCATTTGAATGTTCTCTTTGGTAAAGTGTCTGTTCCTGTCCTTTGTCCAGTTTTTGATTGGATTATTTGTCTTTTTGTTGTTAAGTTGTAGAAATTTTCTATATATCTAAAATATATATTAGACACTTATCAGTTGTGTCATTCCTAAAAAATTTTTCGCCGTATATAGGTTGCCACATTATTTTTGATATCACTCTGTCTTAGTTATCTAGTGCTGCTATAACAGAAATACCACAAGTGGATGGCTTTAACAAACAGAAATTTATTCTCTCACAGTTTAGAAGGCTAGAAGTCCAAATTCAGGGTGCCAGCTCCAGGGGAAGTTTTTTTCTCTCTGTTGGTTCTGGGAGAAGGTGCTTATCATCAATCTTCCCCTGGTCTAGGAGCTTCTCAGTGCAGGGACCCTGGGTCCAAAGGATGCGCTCTGCTCCTGGTGCTTCTTTCTTGGTGGTGTGAGGTCCCACTCCTCTCTGCTCAATTCTCTCTTCTATATCTCGAGAGAGATTGACTCAAGATACAACCTAATCTTGTAGATTGAGTCCTGCCTCATTAATATAACTGCCTCTAATGCTACCTCATTAACATCATAGCGGTTAGGGTTTATAACACACGGGGATAATCACATCAGATCACAAAGTGGTTGACAACCACACAATACTGGGAATCATGGCCTAGCCAAGGCGACACACATTTTGGGGGGACACAATTCAATCCATAACACACTCTAAAATAAAAGAATATAAACAGACTACGAAATACTATTGTTAAGATGCAATCTGATTTCAGAGATGTTAAAATATAAATATAAGGGTGCCCTTAGAATCAATGAAATGTGTTAATGGCATAAAAGGTATCACAGCATATCCCACGTAATGAGGGTATTATTTTACAAAATTTCTGTATCCACATCTACATCTATTTATAGCATTTATGTCCATATCATTCCTGTCAATATCTATCTATAAATAAACACTGGCTAAATTTTTCCCTTGCATGATAGTGTGAAATCAGTTCACTACTGGAGTTCATTAAATTCTTGGAGAACCTATAATTAGCGAATTAGAGTCTGTTGTACACATAAATTATCATATTAATAACAGCTACTATTTATTTATTTAACAAAGATTTAGCACCTACTATAGGAGCCCTGGTGGTGCAGTGATTAAAAGCTTAGCTGCTAACCAAAGGTCGGCAGTTCAAATCCACCAGCTGCTCCTTGGAAACCCTATGGGATGGTTCTACTCTGTCTTATAGGGTCGCTATGAGTCAAAATCAGCCTGATAGCAATGGGTTTGGTTTGGTTTTTCAGTATATTCTAGAGGCAAATTTTAGCTATCTTAAAGGGTATGCTTGTTATTAGGAGGAGGTGGATGAGATGTCTAGGGCACAAAATTTAAGGAGGCACTCACTCTGAGCTGTACAAACTGTGCCTCCTTAAATCTGCTTTCTGAGCACCTCACCTACCTCACTCTAGTCTGGGCTCCGCAAGAGGGGGTGTTCAGCAGTTAACCTGCATTCTGAGATTGCAAGGTTGAAGAGAGAAATTTGTAATTATTGGCAAATAGACGGTGAAGACATGCGGCTGGATGAGAACATAAGAAAGTGTGAGAGGCTGTGGTGTTCCAGGTATGGGCTGTGTACTTTACAAGTGTTCCTTCCTTAGTGGCTTCATCTTAGCAATGTTAGTGTTTTATATAGCAGAGACCACAACCTGTAATTTAAAGCTCCAGCTCTGAAATCAGATACACTGAGGTTTTAATCCTGGCTTAACCTCTTACTTTACTAGTTGTCATTGTCGAGTTGATCCCAACTCATGGAGACAGCATGTGTGTCACAGAATAGAACTGTGCTTCGTAGTTTTCAATGGTTGATTTTTCAAAAATAGATCACCAGACCTTTCTTCAGGTGCCTCTGGATGGACTCTAACCTCCAACCTTTTGGTTAACAACTGAGCGCGTTAACTGTGCCACCCAGGCACTCCAACCTCTTACTAGCTGTTACAAATTGCTTGAACCTGTTTTCTCACATTTAAAATAGGGATGCTAATAGTTATCTCAGGGTTCTGGGGGAGGATTAAATAAAGTAATGGTTTTCTCTTTCTAAATAAATACTGACTTAAGTGATATGGTTATACTTAGGTGGCAATTTATATAAAAGAAAGCACTGGAAGTTGAAGGGACCAATTGCTTCAAGCAAAAAATCCAAAATGGCAGCTCTCTCCTTGTGTGAGGAAGAACAAGAGCCAGAACCACAGAAGAGTGTAAAAGAATCCAAATATGGCAACTGTGACGATGAAGATGCTGATCTGATCTTCGTTGGGGCGGATCATGTAAACTAAGATGCTGAAATTCACTTTGTCAGGGTGATTTCAAATTCTAAACCAGTCATTTCAAACGTTTTGAACAGAGTCACCCCGGGTTCATACTCAAAAAGAAAGAAAGACCACCCCAGTCAAGGTACTGGTCATGCATTTCAGCCTGAAAATCATAGGACCTTTACATCAAAAGAGATGACCATCTTGCCAGTTTCTCAGCCTGAATCAAGATCCGTAGATGATCCTATTATTGATTGTTCATCCACACCCTGTTACAAAAGGAGATCACAACATATCGTGTCTCATAATTCCTTAGATTTGTTCTTACCATGGACTCAGCATGTAGTTGGCGCTGCTCTTTCTGTAGGCAGTACAGATGAAAGTCCTCATGATTTAAAACAACTTTCCACTTCTGATATGAACAGTGGAAATCCCAAAAGGCTTAAACTCAGTGATGCAATCTCAGGGGGATGTTCTTTGGTTACCCTATCTGGTATCTCTCCTACAGTTAACACTAGTACACCCTCAACAGGTGTTCACACCTCGTCAAGTAGTGGTCAAAATGAAGAATCGTTTCCTCAGGCTTGTGCAAATGATATGATACATTTCAGTCTTAGGAATCCAGTCATAGAAAATAGCTTTGAATGACTGCAGGAAACAGACTTTTCAGGAATAGCAAATCAACACGAGACCTTTGATTCCAAGAAAAGAAATCTGATCGTGTTTCTTCATGACTTCTACTATGGAAAACATGATGGAGATGGGCAGCCAGAACAGAAAACTCACACAACCTTTAAATGACTTAGCTGCCTGAAAATTCTAAAGAATGTAAATTTTATGAATCACATGAAGCACCATCTGGAACTTGAGAGGCAGAGAGGTGACAGCTGGGACAGCAACACCACCTACCAGCACTGCTATCGGCAGGTTCCCACTCCCTTCCAGCTACAGCACCACATTGAAAGTGTGCTTATCACCCAGGAACCCTCCACTGTTTGTAAAATCCGTGAATTGTCATTTGAAACAGACCATGTTCTCTTACAACACAAGAAGGACACACATAAGCATGGTGAAATGCCCTATGGGTGCCAAGTTTGCAATTACAGATCATTGGCCTTCACTGATGTGGAAACCCACTTTAGAAACTGTCATGAAAACACTAAGAATTTGCTTTGTCCATTCTGTCTCAAAATTTTCAAAACTGCAACACCATACATGAATCATAATTGGAGGCACTGGAACAAGACAATCTTGCGGTGTTCCAAATGTCGCCTAAAGTTTTTAACCTCAAAGGAGAAAATTGAGCATGAAACCAAGAACCATCAAACATTTAAAAAGCCAGAGCAACTGGAAGGGTTGCCTCCTGTGGGCAGGGGGAGCTTATTATTCAAACTTCAGTTCAATGAGGATCAAAAGGCACAGCATCTATTACTGTGAGCACAACTGACCCTTGGCTGTCAACTGCAAGAACTAAAAAGAGAATAGCTATGAGGACTAGATGTTCCAGACTCCCTTGCAGCTAGAGTCCTAGCTAAAAATTATGTTTTACTTGCTTCCAGGAACATTAAAAGGCAGAAGTGAGGTTAGGCAATCTGTAGTCTTGGCTGTAGATTCTAAAAAGCAGTATCATCTAATGTGGGGTTTTCCAGTGAAAATTCTTCAGCTTGCTAGTGTGAAGAAGTAGCCCAAAAGTCTCTTTTATGTCCCATCCTGGTCAACACTGCCCCCTCGCCCCCCGCCATTCTGACTTATATGAGCATAGAATAGTTTTGCCTGTTTTTGAACTTTAAATAAATGGAACCATAACAATAGATTCTTGTCTTTGACTTCTTTTAAATAATGTGTGAGATGCATCCTTGTTGTGTGTAGCAGCAGCGCATTGTTTTCGTTGTTGGATAGAATCCCATTGAATGAATATGGCAGTTTTATATATTCATTTTACTTTGAGGCTGATTATTTTGCTATTTTAAATAAAACTGCCATAGACATTTTTGCATGTCTTTTGGTGGACATCTGCATTAATTTCTCTTGGATATATATAGCTATGGGGAGAAGTGCTAGAACTATATATATTTAACTTTAGTGTAGATACTGCCCGTCACTTTTACAAAGTGACTGAAACAATTTATATTCCCACCAGCAATATTGAGAGTTCTGTTGCTACAGATCATTTCCAACATTTGGTGCTCTCTAATTAAAAGGTTACTTAGAGCTATTCTCTTGAAGTTGTAGTGGTATCTCATGGTGGCTTTAATTTACATTCCCCTGATGAGTAATGATCTTGGACATATATTTTTTCATATGGTTATTAGCCATTTGGATGTTATCCTCTCTCATGAAGTGTCTGTTCAAGTCTTGATTTATTTTTTTTTTAAACTGGGTTTTCTGTCAACTGGAAGGGGCGTAAGGGAATTGCTGGGGTGCTGAAAATGTCCCATATCTTGGTGCAAATGGTGGTTTCATGGGTATATACATTAAGGTTGGTACTTCATGTGTCCTATTTAAGAAGCCTTTGGTGGCACTTCAGAAGAAAAGCCTGGCAAATCTACTTCTGAAAAATCAGCTATTGATCACTCTATGGAGGGTAGTATATCTAAGTCAGTAGTGGTGTAATAATATGGGTCGAGACAGAGAGAATGGTTATACAACATGAATAAAGTAACCAATGTCATTGAATTGTATATGTAGGGATTGTTGAATGGTATATGTTCTGCTGTGCATATTTTCACCAAAAATAAATAAACAAACCCTATGGAGCACAGTTCCGCTCTGACACACATGGGGTCACCATGAGTCACAGCTGACTGGATGGGAACTGGTGGTGGTAGTGCCTACCAAAGGTATAAACGTATTCCTCATATTTTCTTCTAGAACTTTTACTGTTTAACCTTTCAAACTTAGGTCTATGAGGCACCTTAAATTGATTTTTTATTTATGTATGAGAGAAATTAAGGCAAATTTTTTTCATATGCATATTCAAATACACTAGCACTTTTTTTTTTTTACCCCACTGTATTGCAGTACAACCTTTGTGTAAATCAGGTAGGTGGCTGTATATCTATTTCTGGACTCTATTCTCTCCTATTTGTCCAGTGCCACATATCTTAATTATTGTAGCTTTATGTAAGTCTGTATATTTGGAAGTTTAAGTGACCCAGCTTTGGTCTTCAAAATTACCTTTGCCATTCTACTGAAGTGGTAATAGTGGACATCCTTCTGTTGTTCTCAAACTCATGCTTAATTGAAATGTGGCATTCATCTCAAGAAGTAAAGAGGAGCAACAGAGCATACTTACAGAGACAGGAAAGAAGGGAATACTAAAGAGTGGAAGAAATAAATGAAATCATAATTCATCATTATGATATTAACTGTACAGCTTTTTGTAGCTACCCAGTGACTGCAGTGGAATTTAACTAGAAGTGAACAACAGAAAAATAGTTGGAAAAAAAAGCATAGTTTGGAAATTAAGCAATACACTTCTAAACAGGGCTGGGACTAGGGTGAGACAAGCAAGGAGTCTAAGGAGCAAAAATGCTATCTCTGCATTTTCACAAGCCGAACGTGAGTGTCTCCTTAATTTTGTGCTCCTTGCTTGCCTCACCCTAGTCCTGGTTCTAAATAACTCATATGTCTAACAAGAAATTGCTGTGGAAAAAAATATTTGGAACTGATGATATTGAAAACAATAAAATATATGGTGAGAGCTAAAATAATTTTTGGAAATCTCTATCTTTAAATTCATATACAGTAAAACCTGTCAGAACCTGTGTCAGGTGGAAACCTGTCAGAGAAGGAAAACTCACTAGGTGTTTGTGAGGTAGGACTCTTAACAGTGATAGAAAAGTGGTAAGACTGCACCCTGTCAAAGGCAGAAAACTTGCAAGACCTCTCACAGGTTTCACTGTATTTGAAAAGAAGGAAGATTGAAAACTCAATGATTTAAGTCCATAGAACTTTCTACAGGGATGGAAATGTTCTACATCTGCATCATCCAATATGGTAGCCATGTGACTAGTGAGCACTTGAAATGTGGCTAGTGAGACAGAGTTACTGAGTTCTTTATTTAATTTCATTTTGATTAATTTAAATTAAATTTAAAGGGACAATAAATAAATCTTCCTTACAAAAGAATTCCAAATAATGTATGTATATAATCTCCCCTCAATGAGATGGAGCTTAACCATATTCCCTTCCCAGTGGTAGGCTGGACTTAGTGACTTGCTTCCAAAGAACAGAGTATCAAAAAGGGGAAAAGTAACTTTATAGTGGAGAAACCTGTCAAACATACCTTGGCCCGGTGATCAAATTTAACATAACCAGTGGTAAGTCATGTTGATAGCATATCCCTGATGGGAAGAGAACAGTACACCTTCTGTGGTATCCTTCCTAAAATCTCACAACTCCGGTGTGACCATGAGAAAAACATCAAAAAAATCCAAATTGAGGGACATTTTATAAAACAGCTGACTAGTCGGAGGCAACTTGACAGCAACTGTCTTAGCCTGGGCTCTCTAGAGGAGCAAAACCAGTGAAACATATATACAGAGAGAGAGAAAGAAGAGAGACAGAGAGAGACTTATTTCAAGATAAATGGCTCACACAGTTGTGGAGGCTGGCAAGCCCCAAATCCATGGGTCAGATGTCAAGCTGGAGGCTTTTCCTGACTCACGTGGTTGCAGGGGCTGACGAACCCTAAATAGGCAGGTCAGATGGCAGGCTGCTGGCTCATGGGGTTGTAGGAGATGGCAAATCCCAAAATCTACAGGTCAGGTGGCAGGCTGCTGGCTCACATCCCAAGAACTGGAGGTCAGATGATGACAAGTCAGAAGCAGGATTGAGAGTGAGAGAGAGAGCTTTGCAAGAACATTCATATATACTGGATGCAGGCCACACCCCTAAGGAAACTCCCCTTACATCAGATCACAAAATGGAGGATAATTACATGATACTGAGAATCATGGCCTAGCCAAGCTGACACATAACATTAACCATCACAGCAACTAACAACAACTGCAAATACTCCTCAAAATTGCCATGGCAATGAAAAGCAACGAAAGTGTGATAAAGTGTTTCAGATCAGAGAAGGCTAAGGAGACATGATGACTAAATGCAATGTGGTAAACTGTATGGAAAGAGGTCTGGTGGCACCATAGTTAAGCACTCAGCTGCTAACCAAAAGATCAGAGGTTTAAACCCACCGGAGGCTCCAGGGGGTGGGGGAAGATGGGAGGAAGACCTAGAAATATGCTTCTTTAAAGATCACAGTCTAGGAAACCTTATGGGGCAGTTCTGCCCTGTCCTACAGGGTTGCTACATGTTGTAATTGACATGACGGTGCATAACAGCAACAATCCTGGATGGAATCCTGCAGCAGAAAAAGTGCATTAGTGGAAAAACTACTGAATCTGAATAAAGCCTGGAGTTTAGTTAATAGTTATGTACCAGTGTTGGAGTTATTGAGAGGCCTAAAGGAGGTCACTTCACACATACACATTTTAGCCATTGCAAACATCTTTAAATCTATGATCTCTTAATTTTGGGCATGGAGTTCTTCATTGAACAAAAATCTTCAATAACATTTAAACCATTGATCTGACCACAACGCAACAAATGAGAAATTAAAAAAAGAACAGTGTAAAAATAGATTTTTACATGATTTTTCCCCCATAGATTTCCATAGATTGGGAAAATAAATATTACTACATAGCCCTTGTGTTAAAAAAAGAAAATCATTGAGGACATTAAGAAATACTTGGAACTGGATGATAATGAACGTGTTGTGGGGCAAAAATTGGGAAATACTGAAGTCAGTACTTAAAGGAAAATTATAACTTTAATTACATTAGAAAAGAAAGAGAGTTTACAAACAAATGAGCTAGGCATTTATCTCAAGAAGTTAAGAGGAGCAAGAGGACAAACTTACAGAGACAGGAAAGATTGGAATACTAAAGAGTGGAAGACATAAGTGAAATAGAGAAGAAAATAACTTACAGAAAATTAACAAAACCAAAGCTGGTTCTTTCAAAAGTCTGCTAAGATACACAAACTTCTGGCAGAACTGGTCAATAACAAAAGATCCATCAATAGAGGAATGAATAAAGAAAATGTGGTATATTCACACAAAAGAATACTACTCAGCCATAAAGAGAAATGAAATCCTGACACATGCTACAACATGGGTGAACCTTGAAAGCATCATACTGAGTGAAATAAGTCAGTCACAAAAGGACAAATATTGTATGATCCCACTTATATGAAATAAAATAGGCAAATGTATAGAGATCAAAGTGTATTACCAGGGGTGGGGAGGAGGGAGAGAGAAAGCAGTACTCAATGCTTGGGGGACAGTGAGCTTCTGCTAAGGATGATGAAACATTTGAGAATGGATAAGGGTGCTGGTTGAACAATATGATAAACATAATTAATGTCAGTGAACTGCACGTGTGAAGATTGTTGAAATCTCAAATGTTATGTTTCATAGATATTTACGACAATAAAAAAATTAATAAGTAAAAAGGAAAAA